ATAATCACTAAGTGTGTGCGATAGGATGGACAGTAGTTCTTGTCAATCTCATGATTCAAAGTCCTGTTGGAAAGCTCCATCTTTCTGAATAGTCATATATAGATGGATTTCTTTTGCCAGTGATTTGGAAGGAGTTTTTTTTTTTAAATAAAGATTAACTTTCATTTTTGGTTTGTTGAATTTTTCTGTTGTGAAATATTATACGTAGACACACACACACACACACACACACACACACACACTTATCCAGTTGTTGCAGCCTACACCCTTTGTCTACATACATCCCCTGCTTGAGTTGGAGACATTGGTAGCCATTTGGGTTTCAGAAAAATCAACATGTAACCATATTATAAGCAGCTGCATCCTCTTTGCCAACGATGTAAAACTATTTAACATCATAGGCAATTCTACTACTCTACAAAACAACTTAGATTATGCATCTGAATGGTCAAACAAAAAAATCTCTGCTAAGAAATGCTCAGTCCTACACATTGGCAATAAAAATCAGAACATCAAATACAAGCTGGGTGGAAATGATCTAAAAGATGAGCCACACTCTGTCAAAGACCTAGGAGTACTCATTTTGAAAGACCTGAGCCCCAGAGCTCACTGTAACAACATTGCCAAAAAGGCTTTCAGAGTTGTCAACCTTATTTTACGTAGTTTTCTCTCTGCTGCTAACCAGGACATATACAATCTTTGCCAGACCTATACCTGAATACTGCTCACCTGCCTGGAACTCACACTGCATTTCGGACATTAACACATTAGAGAGGGTCCAGAGGTATTTCACAAGAAGAGTACTCAACTCCTCTGCTCGTAATAAAATTCCGTATACCACCAGGCTTGAAATTTTAGGACTGGATAATTTTGAACTGCGCAATCTACATTCCAACCTAAACTTAGCACACAGGATAATCTGCCCATAACGTCCTACCTGTTAATGACTACTTTTACTTCAACTGCAATAACACAAGGGTTATCAATAGATACAAACTAAATGTAGTCCACTCTAATCTTGATTGCAGGAAAAATGACTTCAGCAATAGAATAGTAAATGTGTGGAACACCCTACCCAATCCTGTTGTTAGTCCCTCTAACCCCCATACCTTTTACCTTAAACTTTCTACTGTGGACCTTACGCATTTCTTAAGAGATCCCTAAGGGGAAGTTCATAAGCGCAACAGCGTGCCTATCGTCCTGTCCTACTGTCCCATTTATATGTACTCTTTTTGTGTTTATGCTATGTTTTGCTTATTTATATCCATTTATTTGTGCCATTTCTTTCATGTGTTTTTCATACTTATTTCCTTCTTGAGAAATTTAAATAAATAAAATAAAATAAAATAAATAAAATAATAAAATAATAAAATAATAAAATAATAATAAAATAATAAAATAAAATAAAAATAAAATAAAATATAAAATAAAATAAAAAATAAAATAAAATAAAATATAAAATAAAATAAAAAAATAAAAAAAATAAGATGGTGGTCACAGTCACACAAAATTTTTCTTTTCTATTTGCATTACATGCACAAAAAAGTAAAAAGCCACAGTGCTTAGTTTGCAGGCTCAAGGACCCTGACTAAATGTGCAAACAAATTTACTCTGCGGGCCCAAAGTAACAGAATGGCATAGGAGTTCAGCACACTGTTGTAAGTTAGTACTTGGAAATGGCAACAGGTACTTACATCAGTGGAGAAGGTTCTAATGCTGGGAATGATTGAGGGCAAAAGAAAAAGGGGGTGGCAGAGAATGAGGTGGCTGGATGAAGTAATTCAAGCAGTCAGCGTGAGCTTAAATGGACTCTGGGGGATGGTAGAGGACAGGAAGGTGATGGGTCGGACATGACTTCGCAACTAACAACAACAACTTACGCATCATGTCCATTTCTGAGGAGCATTTTGAATGTCTTGGGTGCTAGAAAGGTTAAAACAGGCCTTGCTACACATTTCAACAGCATAGCCATAGCAGAAGGAAAAGCTTTGTAGGCATCATCTGCAACATACATCACATTAAGCCATAATTTTTCTTAACTATGATTAGTATATGTCACAGGTGTCAAACTCGTGGTGTCACATGGCAGTCACATGACATTTTGCAATGTTTTTCCCATTCATGGTGTTGGGGTGGGCCTGGCCTACATGTGATGTATCCGGCCCATGGCCGCTAGTTTGACATCCCTGGTATATGTGAATCAGGTGACAGTGAATTCCCAGCTCCTCTAAATGAGATCCCTATCTTCAGATCTGACCAAGTTTCATTCAGGAAGCTATTAAGCCATTTTCACAGCTGTTGCCAAAGTAGGTCACTTGATAAGGATTCAGTGTTGTTTTAAATCACTCTCACTTAGCAAGTAATTAGCACTCCTGGCACATTTGTTCATTAACTAAAATCTCATCAATACATTGCTGAGAAAAGCAATGAGGCGGGTTTGAGTGTAAGATGCAGACAGAAGATAGCATTCTGTTTGCCTATTAGGACATGACTGATAAAGAATTACACAGTAATTCAAGAGAAATTAGTCATGACCATCTATTCATTGTAGTCCTCCTAGGTTTTTAATGTGCTAGATCCAAAACATCACAGAAAAGAGTTCTTTTTAAAAGGAAACAAATGCTTGTAGAATCATCTGCTGTCCATTATATAATCATGGACACCAGTGGGACTGTTTATGACATTCTAGCTTAATTGTTCTTTATTTTGTAAATTTTTCTTCTGAGATTCTCTTTCCTCTAAAGAATCCTCACTAGCAGCTTAGGTAGCATAAGCTAAATGTTAGCCATGAAATTCTAAGGATGCAAAGACTGCCAAGAGGGGCTTTATCTGATTCAACTGACCTTTAAAATTTATTTTGCAGCTGTCAAAAAACATGTTAGACGACGTATGAGATTCCCAGTGATTAGGAAAGGAAACTATAGAAAAATCTACTTGCTACATTTATCTACAGAACATGAAATGCATGTTCTCCTTTCCTCATTTTGTTTAACAAAAGGGGAAAAAATGAAAAGAATTTTAATAAGGAACTCAAGAGACAGTATCAAGAAGCTATAAAAAATTCATATGAATCCTATTGTTAAACATGAGCGTTCATTTAGAACCCTTAATAAACCTCAGTCAGAGATGCTAGAATCTGAATTTAGCCAGGTGAGAATCAACATTTTGGGTAATTCACTTACCCATAAGATAGCAGCTCTTCTGCATGCTTATGGAGAAGTTTAGATTAATGGATCTCCTTGCTGTTCCTTTGTGGTTTTGTTGACATCACACTAGCATTTTATCCTGTTCTTTAAAGCAGTGGTGCGATTCAAACATTTTTACTACCAGTTCAGTGGGCATGGTATGGTGGGTGTGGCATGGCATGGTGGGTGTGGCTTGGTAGGTGTGGCAGGGGAAGCATACTGTAAAATGTCCATTCCCTCCGCACTCCAGGAGAAGGATACTGCAAAATCCCCATTTCCTCCTGATCAGCTGGGACTCTGGGGGCGGGGCCTGACAGAGGTGGTATTTACCCATTCTCCGAACTACTCAAAATTTCCACTATCAGTTCTCCAGAACCTGCTGAATACCACCTCTGCTGTAAAGGTTTTACAAGGTTTCAAAGCTGTCAGAAATGAGAGCAGCTTGGGTGGTATTGAGAAGGTGCAAATACTGTAGTATCTAATTGGCTCAAATTAAAAATGTAGGATCTATAAGTGTATAGATAGATGCAAATAACTGACTGATTTCCCAATCCCTACGGACTCAGAGTTACATTTCCCTTGCAGGCATCATTAGGTTGATCCAATGTTTTGCAAGGGAATATGGGCAGGTCCTTAAGCATCCCAAACTAAGATTGATCAGGAAGCTAAAATACTCCAAAGCATATGTACTTTTTAATGACAGTTGTTCCTTATACTGCAAGGAAATTACGTTTCAGATTCATACCATTTGCAATGCACAACCAGCTATCTACACCACAGTTAAGTAGCAGGAAACTCTCTTGATCCATGCACCGTTGCTGAATAAATATTGATTCTTACACCCTGGGATTTTTTAAAGGTTTTTTTTTTATATACTGCCTTCATTACTTTTATAAGCAACTAAAGGTGATGAACATACCTAATACTCCCCTCTCCCCATATTATCCCCCCAATAACAGCCCTGTGCAGTGGGTTGTGCTGAAAAAGAGTGACTGGCCCTACCCAGCCAGCTTTCATGCTTAAGGCAGAAATAGAATTCCCGGTGACCTGGTTTCTATGTCAGCATCTTAATCACTGGACCAAATTAGTTCTGGTTCTTCCTAAATCATTTAATTAAATGCCATGGACAAATTTGATTCCTGGTTACTATATGGATAAATACTACTCATCTTCAGCTATCTTTGGTAACATCTCAGTTCTTCCAAGGATTTATTCTTAATTTATTTAAGCACTTAATTAACTTATTCATCAAATCACTCCATCGTTTTCTCCCATTCCCTCCAATTTATCAGTCCATGAAGTTCTTAGTAATGACTTCCAAATCTATTACTTGAAGACATATTTTTGTTTTCTTTCTTAGTATTTAGCTTTAATAGCCATGCATATATTTTCCTGTGGAAATACCATTTAAGTGTTGTGATCTGGCCTTTAATTGCCCTTATGTTTCATGATTTTGTATAGGGTTTTCACTGCCTTCTTCACAAGGATTAATCTCCTTTTTAGCAGAACATGGACCATTTTTATGAAACCCCCCCCCCCAAAAAAATGTTTTGTTTTCTTTTTTCTTGCTTAAAGTTTCCTAAATATGCAGACCAACATTTATGTTGTTTTCTTAATAGTCGGATTTGAAATATGGCTTATAGAAGCTGCAAATAAATTGAGATTTAATATTGAATGTATTAAGATAAACTTTTTTTTACTTTCCTAATAACTCTTCAGTTAAAAATGATTAAGTAAATCATTTCTACTTTTGGCTAACAATGATGTCATTTACATAACTCAAAATTGTTTTCTCATCTCCTATTTATATTCCAGGTGTCATCTCTCTGAATCTTGCCAGTCTCATAATAAATCACTTTATAAGATTCCTGAGAAAAATAATCAGATGTTCTGACATTGCCATTAGCTTTAATGTGTCCCATTTTCTGGCCTGATTTACACAAAGTCTTGCTGTAATCTTGCTGAAGCAAAGGTAAACTTCCTTCTCATATTATCTTGTTCTATTATATGTCTTGTATTAGTTATTTGATCTCATATCCCTTTATCTTTTCCAAAGCCTGTTTATTTAGCTTTTTTCCATATATACTTCTGTTCTTTAAAAGTGTTTAAGCAAAACTCTGAGTGTGTGAGGAATTAATGCATAAGTTCAATATAAGTGTACACACTAGTATTTCCTAATTTCTATGCTACACATTCTTGTTCAATATTTGTTGACCCAACCCTGTTACTGATATAATTACTTCTGCAACTTTACACAATTCAGTGAGAATTTCATCTGTACCAGAAGCTTGTAAATTTGACAGTAGGTCTATAGCATATATATCTAATTATTAAAGAAAATTGACTCCTGAATGTATTCTTTCTCTACAAAGTTTTCATTCATTCTACAATTTCATTTGTACAAGATTTTAGAAAGTCTTTCCATCTTCCTTTGAACTTAGTGCTAAATCCTTTAGCTCCTTTGTAGTTTTTACCTGTGAACTGTATTTCTGAGTTGGGATATTTAATGTTTCTTCTTCATACCTCTAATTCATGAACGTGACTACTAACCAACCAAGATAACGATCATACCTTCTGTTCATGTATTTTTCCAGCATATTCTCCAATCTATTTTAACATTTGAACCACATCTCCCAACCACAATTTTGGCTCTTCAATTTATTTATTTATTTATTGCCTTCCAAGTCACTGTGATGAGAGCAAAAAATGGTAATCCATTCTGATTTGAGGACAGACAAGTGAAACACCATTCCACCTCCACCACTGTCTTTCTTTTCTACCTTGATTTTTTTAAACACACAATGTAGAATACTAGCATTAATATATGAATAAACATGAATGGGATTGCACAGTAAATTCCTTACCAACTTTCCCCATAATAAAGCCTTGGCAGTTCTTCAATTATCTCAACTCTTTCTTTCTAATCCCCTGCTCCTATGATGATGGTTACTTAATCAGCAGTCTAAAATCATGTACCACCTCAGTATCCAAAACAAACAAATGAAGAATTTTATCATCTGCTCAGCTGTAAACTCTGCAAAGGCAGTGCAACACAGGGAGCAGAATGACCGTAACATGGGAGTAAGCTGACAGCTTGTTAAAGAACAGTTGAGAAAATGTGTGGTTTTTTTCTTAAAAATTGTCAAAAAAAGCTAGCTCTATGGGACTGATTAGTCTGAGTGGTGAATTTGCATCTCATTTGCACCGAGAGGAGATACACTGTTGTCTTACTTTAGATTTTGTGCCCATTTCCTGTGTTCTTATTCATGTTTATTCTTATTCTTGTTATCTTGTACATGAGTGACAAACTAAATAAATATAAATAAATAAATAAATCATTGTTTTTCAAACTTGGCAATGTGTGGACTTCAACTCCCAGAATTTCCCAGCCAGCATGCTGACTGAGGATTCTAGGAGTTGAAGGGCGCACATCTTAGAACTGCCTAGTTCGAAAAAAGCTATCTTAAACTGACATGCATCCTCATCTAGGAACAGGTAAGACAGTTGATATTTGAGGGAAGAAGACCAACCTCTGAGTATTTTGCAATCTTAGAGTCAGATAAAGCATGGCATTCTATCTTTAGCCTTTAGACAGTAGGGCAGGAACATTAGGCATGCTGGTGCGCTTATGCACGCCCCTACTGTCCTCTTAGGAAAGGGGTGAGGTCAACAGTAGACAGTTTAAGGTTAAAGTTTAAGGTTAATTTATGGGAGTTAGAGGAAGTAATGAGTCGGGTAGTGCATTCCAGGCATTGACCACTCTGTTGCTGAAGTCATATTTTCTGCAATCGAGTTTGGAGCAGTTTACCTTGAGTTTATATCTATTGCGTGCTCATGTATTATTGCAGTTGAAGCTGAAGTAGTCATTGACAAGTAAGACATTTTAGCAGGTAATTTTGTGTACTATGCTTAGATCAGACTTTAGTTCTAGGTTGTTTATATTCTTAGACATTTAAATATGAACTATGAAGCTATGACAGTTTAAATAATATGAAAATACATACTGTGTTCTTATATTGGTATTAGCTGGGCATGCCTAAATTTGTCTTTTTTTCAAGGTTGGTTCTCAAGACATTGTAAAGGCTATTTCACCTTGCTTCATTTTAGTGAGGAAATTTCATTGTAGTCAGTCCTGAGGAAAGAAATCTGACAATGAATTTACCTTTCCACATCTTGACCAGGGTTTCTTTTACTATAAATTATTTACTACAGATAGTCCTGTTTAGTGACTGCTTCACTTTATAACAGTTTGCAGTCATGACAGTGATAAAAAACTAAATGTGTGACCAATCCTCAAATTGATGGCCTTCACTATATAGGTAGTCCTCAAGTTACAACTGCAATTGAGACCTGGCACTCCCTTGCTAAGGAACATGGTCATAAAGTGTAATTTCACATGACTGTGTCACTTAGCAACAACAATTCTGACAGTCCCAGTTGCCATTGTTAAACAGGGACTACATCTGAACTCAATATATGAAATCTTCAAGGCAAAGCATTTAACCACCTAAGCTAATAAAGGAAAAAGTATTCTGGTGAACAAATCCACCAGTGTATCAAAAAGCAATTTATATTCCTTATGGTAACTCTGACCATGGTATTTAGTAATGCTTTATCAGAACTTTAAGAATCATAACATGGGCAAATATGATTGTAAGATAATAAAAAGTGGAAAGTTGTATAAAATATTAAATAAGTTTCTATATAGATATTCCAGTTTGAGGGAACATAGTTTTATCTGTGCAATATACCCAGGAATATGAAATAGGCAAATAGATATCTACAACAACGCTGGAGGAAGACAAAGGATGAACTACATTGAACATGGGTAAGAGCTGTTATTAAGGCCTACTTCATGGCATTTTAGGCAATGAAGCATTAGTACTTCTCACTAATTACATCTGCAGATAATCAGCCAACGACCCTCTTTAAAGTGAGCCATCTCCTCTTGGGAAGGAGTCTACATGAAGGGGTGCACTGAGGAATTTGCTGGTTTTCTGGAAGACAAAATCACTCAAATCCATTCACAATTAGATGACAGTGTGGTTGCTGATCTGGTGGAGGCACCTGAGGCAAGTTCTTGCCAGTTATCTTGGATGGTTTGATTCTGTTACCTGAGGAAGTGGGCATACTCCTAGGGAGTATGAGTGCAAGCACCTGTGTTTTAGACACATGCCCCTCATAGTTTGCAAAACTTCCCAGGAAGTGGCATAGAAGCAGATATTAGTAGGGATTAATGCTTTCCTACATTTGCCCATATTTTAAAGAGGCTGTGGGGCTCCTCTTCTTTAGAAACCATTTCTAGACTCCTTGCTATTGGATAATTTTTCTCCTGTTTCCAATCTTCCCTTTCTGGGGAAGGGTGTTGAGAGGGTGGTGGCCTTCAGGTCCATAGGTTCCTGGATGGCATGGGTTATGTAGACCTTTCCAACCAGGTTTCAGGCTTTGATATGGGGTGGAAAATGCATTTGTTGGCACTTTATGATGATCTCTGGTGGAAGCAGAATAGAGGTAATGTGTCTATCCTCACTCTACTTGACTTCTTGGTGCCTTTGATAACATTAACCATAGTATCCCTCTAGAGCCATGATGGTTAACCTATGGCATACGTGCCACAGGTGGCATGCAGAGCCCTCTCTGCAGGCATGTGAGCCGCCACCCTAGCTCAGCTACACCACACATGCCCATGCATCTCCCATTGGCCAGCTGATTTTTGAGTCTTTGCCACACATGTGTAAGGGGAGGGGCACATGCAAGAGATTTGCGCACATGCATGGGGTCGCATGTGCATGCATGTATGCAGCACGCCCCTCACGGCTTATTTTTTGTCCCAGGAGGCTGCAGGGAGGCCTACTAGGCCCAAAATAGGGTGCGGGGCTGTCATGTGTATGTACAGGGGGCGGGGGCATGGGGGTGTCACACATGTATTGCATTATGGGTGTGGCTGTGTGCACGTGTGCTGCATGCACATTATTTTGGCACACGATGACAAAAAGGTTAACCATCACTGCTCTAGAGAAACTTCAGAGGTTGGGAGTAGAGAGCTCTGTGTAGTCCTAGTTTATTTCCTTCCTCTCTGGTTTTTTGTCAGTTGACTGATAGGAAGCAAGAGGTCCATCTAGGTCCCTGCTTTGTGGGTCCCTACAAGGCTCAATATTTTATCCACTTATGTTAAACATCTACATAAAGTCGATTTGGGGCAGGCTGAGAGGTATCCATCTGTCATCTCCTATGGGGAATTGCACTGTCTGCCAATTTGCTTCTGGGTCCAATTCAAGTTGCTGGTTGTCACCTTCAAAGCCCTATATGGCTTGCAACCTGATTAGTTGAAGGACTGTCTTTTCCCAGTTACATCGACCTTACCCATCAGAGCAGAGAATCCGAGAACGCTGCAGATCCCTGGCCTACCTACTAGGAACAAGGGCCTTCTCTGTAGTGGCTCCATGCTAGTGAAACATCATCCCTGTGGAGATAGGTTTGGGCCCCACTTTGATACTCTTTTGACAGAGTCTGAAGACCTGATTTTGCAAATGGATCTGGGGACCTCAAGATGGCTTATTTGACAATTGTCACAAGCGGGATGAGAGAGGGGTTATTGATATAGTCTCTGGGTGTGAGTTGGGTAGTTGTATATATTTTCTTAAATAGATAAATGTTCTGACCACCCCCTCCGTACACCAAGGCACTCCAAGACAAGATTACTGCTAGACAATTTATTCACAATAAATTAACACACCGACAAGACTTTGGCAGCAATCCAGACTTCCAAGATAAGAAATACACACGAGAGCTTCTCCAGCGTTGGTATAGTAATTGAATCCTGCAAACAGCCTCCTCCCAAAGTCTCTCCTTATAGGCTCTCTTGGGAGGAGCCTAATTACAACCATCTGGGTCCAATTATCATTTGTATCTGTGTAGTTGCTGCCCGCCTTTGCCTGGCATCCAGGACCAACTCCCTTAGCTCCTCCCCAC